GTCTGCGGACGGCGGGCGTTAGACCTGGGCAGCGTGGGGCGGCCACCCAGCAGAGTCCCACGGGAGCCCACCGTGACCACATGCAGGAAGGTGTCTCTGGAGCAGCTGTCCCCAGACCCACCACCTACCATCTCTGGGAGGCAGCGGGGAGCTCTGAGCTGTGCCCAGGGCGGGGCCCTCCTGATGGACCCTCCTGTCTGCATGAGGAGACTGCCCACGCCTGGCTCCTGGGCCCCACTGCACCACGGGTCTGAGCCCCACTGCCCACAGGGGCCTGGGGCATGGCTTTTCCTTTTCTTTCTTCCCTTTCTCTTTATAGTTGCCAAAGAGCACATGTGCTCCCCAGAGAGAGAGAGAGTGAGAAAGCAACCCCCCGGGGATGGCCATGCCAGAACCCCTCCATCTATCTCATACTCTTCTCAGGGTTTTGGGCACACACGCACATGCCCGGCATGAGTTTCAAGCCTCGGGGGCCAGGACCCCAGCCACACCATGGGTCACACGTGGGATCCGGCCACCTCTGCCACCACACTGTGTGGCCCAAGGATTTCACTTTTTGTCTTTTCCTTTTCCTGTTTTAGTTGCTAAAGGGAATACGCACTTATCAGAGATGAAGAGGGCGGGAGAGCGTGGCCCCGGCAGGAACGACCACGAGGCAATCCCTTCTCCTGCGAGAGGGCTCCCGAGGCGGGCCACGGCGGTCTGGACCGCTAACCTAACCCAGCAGGCTCCCACAAGCACCATGCTGGGGTGGTTGGCCAAGCACCTGAGAAGCCACTGCGGGACCATGGAGGACTCTGAGTGGCCAGACAGGACAGAGGGGGCCCTGCCGCCGGGCCGCTGCTCAGCTCCGCAGGCGCACACGGGCAGACAGCTGAGGGTGGGTGCGGCTGTCTCTACATTTTACTTACGAAAACACTGGCCGGGCTGGGCTCAGCCCCTGGGAACACCATTCTCTAACCTCTGAGCTCATGGCTTGTAAATGTGAGGTGTCCTGCACACGTGCAGGAAAGCACGTCCCGGTGGGAGTGTATACTGTTTCTGCCTCCCGTGGAGAGAGCTGACCCCTCAGTGCAGGCAAGCCTGTGCAGACACATATGTGAGAGATAAGTCCCTTCTCAGCAGCCTCGCGAGCGCTGCTTTCCCTCTTGTTTCATGATGACGGAGAGTCCCAGAGCCACCCAGCAGCCATGTCACCAACTGCGGGTGCAGGCAGCCTGCAGTGGGGTCCACTCCACGGGGCTCTCTGGGAAACCTTCCTTACAGTATCGAATTAAAGATGGCTACAGCAAAGAGGTCTGGGTGCTGCCAGTGAGAAGAGTAGGAAGCCTGAGGCCACCTCGCCGCAGCCATAGACGGCCTTAGCTGCAGTGTCCACATGGCAGGGCCCTGCTGGTCCTGGGGAGGCAGCTCTGCTGGGGCTTCTCGAGATCAGTGAGGAGCAGGGCCTGAGCCCCCCCCACCCCGGTCTTCAGGGGAGCTGGCCCTCCCCCCAAGGCTGTGAGGCCTTCCAGGGCTCATGTGAGGAGTGGTGCCCCTATCCTATGGACTGGCACTCAGACGCTCGAGGCCCATGAACTGGCTCAAGGCCGCACCGTGAGCAACGTTCCGTCACATCTGTGCCCAGAGTCTGCAGCCTCCTCTACAAGGGTCTCCTCAGGACCCCCGTGGTGTTAGCCCAGCCCCTGCTCGGAAGGCTCCGGGAAGCTGTCCCAGGTCTCGGGGAGGCTGGGGCAGCGAGTCCCCTGAGCCAGGGGCTGCACCCTCGTAGCTGGCAGTGCTGGTTCTTCTGCCACAGGGTCCATGCAGCCGAGGGTGTTTGGATCCACCCCGCAAGTCTGCCCGGATGCCAGGCCTGCGTCACCGGCTCCCATGGCCGAGGGCTCTCACGGCCGAGGGCTCTCACCGAGATCACCCTCTTGGCACGGATCATAGGGCCCCTGTGCCCTCTTCTGTGAGGAGACAGTTTTATTTCTGGCTGTGCAAATGTCACATAACCACCGCACGCCGTCGCCCTCACGGTAACAGATCATAATAAAAGTCCCTCGGAGGCTGTTTGTGTTCAGACACACACAGAACAAAGGGGGACGCAGCCTGCCGTGTAAACAGAGGCGTGTGGTCGTGCCCGTTTGTCTCAGCACAGACCAGGAATAAGACAGGTGCTCAGCACGACAGCTCCCGGGAGTCCTTGGAGAATGGAGTTAAAGGGCGATTTATTCTAATGCACACGTTTTTAAAACCAAGCACGGCTTTCCCAGAACACACATTTTCCGTGACTGTGAAGCCAGCTCATAATTCCACATGTGCGCGGACACACCCTGGGAGGAAGAGCAGCGCTTCCTGAGCTGAGGCCGCTGTTGGGGGTGGAGGGGGGATGCCTACGCAGAGCGCCCGCTCTGGGTGTGACTCTGCTGAGAAGCCGCTGGGCCAGCACCGCAGCCTGGCAGGCCGGGGGCCGGACACCACATGGCTGGCCGCAGTGCTGACCCCTGCAGCTTGAAACACACAGCGTGCGTGCCCCAGACCCTATGGGGAAGGCACTGGCCGGGTGCTCTCTCCCTCTCCCTCTGTCTCTCCCTCTCTGTCTCTCTGCTGAGTGCACCCACCCTCCAGCAATCGCACAAAGCGGCAGGCGAGCCCAGGGAGCCTCGTGTGGTGTGGGACGTACCCACTTGGGCATCTGGCCGCCGTCGGGGTCGTGATGGTGGTACTGCAGCACGATGACGGTCACTACCACCGACAGGCCCACGATGATCATGGTGCTGGCGAAGTACTGGGCTGCGGGGACACGGAGCTGAGGGCCGACCGCAGGCAGCCACCCACCTCCCACGTTCCGGGGCTGCAGGCCCGGCCCTGCCCCCACGTGGCCTGGGGCTCCCGGGCCCTGGCTACGGTCAGGACAAACGGAGGCCTGCTCGGCTCCAGACAAGCGTGGGGGTGTGGGGAGGAGCAGGTCCACATTGACGCCCTCCTGCCCCTCCGTGGCCCAGGTGAGAGAGGCCATGGCACTCCAGGCAGTCACAAGCCTTCTCACAGCAGAAAACGGTACCACGGCTGCCCACGGCCCAGGCATGGTTCTGCCCGCACTGCTGCACAGCCTGCGTGCTCTGAGCCCACCTCCCTCACACACGCCCATTCATCCGCTTCTCCCTGCCAGAGACTGACCCCGTCAACGCCCAGCAGGGTCCGGGTGCCGCAGTCCGCCAGATCACAGTGGGAACACGGCCCGGCATGCCCCGGACGGGAGACTGGGACCCTCCCCATGGGGTCCAGGTGCTGTCTGCTGGCACCGTCTGGCCCTCACCCATTAGCACCTCGAGCCAGAGCCCACCGGGCCTCACCTATCAGGGGCACCGAGTCGGAGGTGGCCGGCATGATCTCGGCCACCAGCAGCATGAAGACGGTGAGTGACAGCAGGACTGTGATCCCTGCAACACAAGCACACGCCGTCCTGCGCCCGCCCCGCCCCGAGAGCAGCCCCACGCTCAGCCAGTGCCACGCACCCCCAGTGGACACCAGGCTCGGAGCTGGGGCCTCGGTTCTGAGCCCAGAGGACATGCGTGGGACGGCGGTCTGCATCAGACCCTACACACAGTGGCAGCGCTGTGTGGACCCGAGGGCCTCACGCTACCGCTGGGGTCTCCCCTGTCCTCTTCAGGGGTCACGTGTCTGTGTGGCGATGTGCAAAGCATGCACGACCGTCCTGTTCTCGGTGGATGCTGACCGTCACCACTGAGGACAGGGTGGGACGGCGGCGGGGCTCCTCAGCGCCAAACCCAGTCAGCTCCTGCCAAGGCGTCCTTGCCGTGCAGGTCACAGGATGCTCTTGTGCCCTCAGGAGAGCCCGAGGTGGGGCTGGGTGTCCTAGGGCCGCCCTGGCAGGGGTCTGTGGCCCTGGGGACAGTGCGGCATGGGCTCAGGGCAGGGCCTCCTCAGACCTACCAAGGGAGATCTTCTCCCCGGAGTCGGCGGGCAGCAGGAACACCAGGAGGGCCAGCGCCGAGATGAGCACACAGGGGATGAGCAGGTTGAGGCCGTAGTAGAGCGTGCGGCGGCGCATGGTCACCGTGTAGGTGACGTCGGGGTAGGGCTCCTTGCAGCACTCGTAGAACCTCTCGTTCCTCTTGCCCGGGATGCCTGCGGGTGGGGGGCAACCGCCAGGAGCCACTGGTTTCAGGGCAGGACACAGCGCACGGCCGGGGCGTGCTCCATGGGATTCTGGTCACGTGGGACCACGCGCATCCTGGGGGCTGTGGCATGGCCCTGCAGGGCAAGGACATGGACGCGGGCACCTCGGGGACGGCGGGCACTGTGCCATGTCGCCCTTTGGCGGCAGTTCTGCTGCACGGGGGCTCACCACCCCAGAGCCACACGGAACTCACCAGCGGCCTCTGCGCTGTGGGCACAGCTGAGGCCCACCCAGTTCCCTGTGCCCGACTGCTGGTCACTAACCCTAACCCTAACCCCACGGAGCGTGGACGTGTAGTGCGTTACTCACCCACGCTGTTTGCCATGGGGCTGCCACTGACGGTGGCTCAGGGAGGGTGGCAAGTCCTCGAGTGGACAGGAAACACGTGATAGCCAGCATGTCCACTAACTAGCACCCTGCCAGCCTCGCCTAACACCAATGGAGGTGCCGGCATCCGAACAGAGACAACCCAGCCCAGGGTCCCGCCGGCTGAAGCTTGCAATCCACTCCTAAACCAGGAGGATCGGGTAGCGTGGGAGGGGGGCCGACCCCCGCCTGCCTGGCTCACGTGTGCCCTCCCCTCGGCAGGGAGACCCTCTCAGAAAACTCGGCCTTTCTTGCCATTTCCTGCTTCTCACCCCGCCCACCCCCGTCTCCGTGCCGGTGAACCATGGAGAGTGCTGCAGAGCTGGGGGACTGCCGCGCAGGAAGGTGGGCCTCACACGTTCTAGGCTCGCGCAGGGGTTGGGCCCAGGCTCCACTCACCCACGAGGTCCCACTCTCCGTTCGGGATGTAGCCGCTGACGTCCGCCTCCTGCATCTGCAGGTCCAGTGACCAGCCGCCGTAGGACCAGGACCCGAACTTGAGCTTGCACTGCTGCACGTCGAAGGGGAACCAGCGCACATCGATGTAGCAGGAGCTGCGGAAGATGCCTGCGCGGCACGGCCGGCCGAGCCGGGCTGTGGACGACACTCGAACCGGGCAGCCCGCCACCC